AAATTAACTTAAAAAACCAATTTCTAATCAACTCAATGTTTGGTTCTATCAGTCAAAAGCAGCTATCACAGTTCACGAGAAATGGTCTCAAACAATTAGTCTTAGCATTCAGCACTCATCTATTACATCGATCTTCCTTTGCACATTAGCATTTCCTCCATATGACAACCAAAGGATCAATCACTGTACTTACTTGCCGACAAGGATTTTTCCAACACCATTCCCTGCAGCAATTTTGATGATTATCTGCATTTTAAATCCAAACAACTCCAATAATGAGAGAAGGAATCATAGAATTAAACACGTCAAAGGTTGATCAAGTAACAGCAATCACCTGTGAAGCTTCTCGATTGAAGTAACGACCGTCCCCTCCCAAGACCAGCACTCCATTCTTGTAATCCTCTGGTGGCAATGAATTAAACAATGCCTACACATACAAAAAACTCAAGCTTTACCCAAAGCCCTTATCAAATGCCCCCTAAACCATAACATAGTACAGAACTCAAGGCCACAAAACATGAAAAGGAAACGATCAAACCTGAATCCAATTTGCAAGGTAGTTTTCCTCAGTGAAAACCTTAACCTATAAGAACACAAATTTGAAACCAGACTAAATCACCTGATCCCATCATCATCATTGAAAAAAAAAAAAACTATCAACTTCCACCAAATACTTGATTTTTATTCATCAAAACACAAAAAACCCGTAATATTAATTCACTTTCCTAAACTTACTCGGCATCCAAACATCCAAAAGAAGCAGAAAATTACCTTCTTTCGCAGACCACTTGTCCCTGTCCTCTGACCCTCAATTGGCTTTGTCGGCACTGAATTAATCTGCAAAAACACAAAAAATCAAATCCCCATTTGTTGTTATTTCCATATAAAACATACATACTTGTCTCTGCATAAATAACAGGAAAAAAAAAAAACCTTGATGCCTTCAGGTTCAGCAATGGCAGTAGAAGAGGAAGCTTTCACAGAAAGAGAAGCGCTAAGCGAATGTGAAGTTTTTAAGATTGGAGAAAATAAAGCAGAAGATGATGATAAAAGAGAGAAAGAAGAGATAGGAGCAAAGAGGGGGACACTGCCATTTGCACTAGTTTGCCTCAGTTTTCTAGAAGTTGATGAAAAGATGACATTTTCAAGCCTCAGACAACAACAAGAAGCCATTTTTTCTTGCTTCTGGATTGATAATAAAAGAAAAGGGAAGTTTTTATTCCTTTCCCTCAATGTATTCTTCTCTTGGAAGTGTTACTATGCAGTGATCACTGAAGGGAGAGATTTTGGGATGCGAGTCAAGAAGAAGAAGAAGAGTTGAAGAAATCCATGACTGCTGCCCGTATTTTTAAAAGACTTACCTTTACTTCCTTCCTAGTCCTACCACTACACAGTACACGCAGCAAGTCATGTGAACTTCCTTCTTTTTTTTCCCTCCCCTTGTTTTTATTTTCTCTTTTCCATTTTTCAAAAATATTATTTCTTCTTCTTCTTTTCTTTTTCTTTTCTTGTCATTGTCATACCTCATTTATTTTGCCTATAGTATGATTAAACAAGAGTTTTTGTTTTGTTGATTTATGGAAGAGTGAGGTCTCTTCTTTTTTTTCTAACATTTTAAAAAAATATTAAAAATAAATTTGAAGATGGTGACATGTTGGACAATATATAAAATTGAGATGACTCACAAATAGCAAAACAAAAAAATACCAACTAAAAAATTTCTAAAAAAATATTTTAAAACAAATTAAAGTTGAATAGGGTTAATCTTTTAAATTTATAATCCAAATCCTTAGACGAAAGAGACAATATTCAAGGCAACCCTGTAAAAACAAAGAAGCACCCAGGGTGACATCATTAAATATAAATCTAGAAAAAAACAAAGAAGCATGATTTTTATTTAAATAAATATTGATGAGTAAAATAAAAGGAAAAAAATCTAAAACAAAACAAATCACAATTAAAAGAAAGAAAACTAAATTTGATATAAAAACCAAACATTTATGGAAAGATTAAATGGAATTAAATGTTTAGGGATGTAATTGAAAGCAAATTTAATTAAAAATGATTTTAAAAAATAATAATTAAAAGAATCAAGACCAAATTTGATATAATAAAATGAAAATAATAATTAAAAGAATCAAGACCAAATTTGACATAATAAAATGAAAAAAAAATATTTAAGGATGAAATTAAAAAAAAATCAATCAAGAAAATTATTCAAGACAAAACAAATAGCAATTAAAAGAATGGGGACTGGATTTGATTAGAAAAATTAAGAAAATCAAATGATTATGGATGGAATCAATAATAAAATTTAATTAGAAATAATATATGTAATTAAAACATTTGTAATTAAAAGAAGAGGGATTGAATCAAATGAAAAAAAATTAAAAGGCTAATATTATTTTTTGTATGGCCATAATGCACTTTGAAGAAAAAACAAAAAGAAAAAAAAATAGATAGATATGAAACTAAACCAAACCACCATACACGTGTCACATAAAGAAGAAAAGGACATCGAAACAAAATAAATTATACAATGAAAGTACAATTAAAACCATCGTAGTTAATCTCATACATTACCTAAAAACAATAGAGTAGTTAAAGCGTGCAATACTTTTGTAGCTCATTTATTTTTTAATTGTTCGCTTAAAACAAAAATGCACTTAGCATTAAATAATAATTTAAAAAAATTCTATTATGAAATTACTCTTAAACCCCTAAAACCTAGGCTAAAAAATTAAATGTTAATAGTAATAAAATAATTAAAATGTTTATTATAAAATACAATAACTACAAGACTCCTGAACCAAAGGTTCTTACTTTTAATTTTTAATGTCAATACAATAATTTCATTATTATGAAAAAAATAAAAAGATATTGTTGCTCGCAAATAAACAAAAAAATGATAAATTAACATCATGCAAAAATTATTGTACCCCTCAAGACAAGCTTGCTTGAACTTTCAATTATGGGAAAAAGATTGATTTTACTATCATAATCTTTAGGAATCCAAGGCATATCTACAATAGTTTTTCCGTGGGGTTTAGTTTCTTTTAATACCTTAAATTTTTTATACAAACTAAATATTTAATGCATATTCTATTGAATTCAATTTTTTTTTTCTTTGTTTCGATAGAGTCCACATCCGACTAGACAGAAAGGAAACCAGGTTTTGTCCTTTCTATTCGGGGTCACAATTTCCAAATAATGTATGATTGAATATATCAAAGATGCCACATGTACGAGTCCAAGCACAGGAGGCAAATGTTAAATGATAGCATTCTCACAATTCTTCAAAAAGCCCTCGAGTTCCCATCTCGACCACGGTGGAGTATGCCCCATTGGAAGTGCATCCTTCAAATAAAAAAACCTTTCAGAGTATTGCTAGTTATTAAATTATGATCATAGTATAGTGTGTGTTTTTATATATATATATACTACTCGTGGTTGAGAATACATTTAATTGCATTAATATTTTTATATGAAAAGATGTTAACGATACTTTAAAATTTATGGAAAATTCATTGTGCAAAACTACCCGTGGATTTTCTCATTAAATATTATGGACTCATTAGTTATAGAGTTTTTTTTTCTGTTAAAATACTCTTTTTTTCTATTCGCTCTTTATGGACTAAATTAATGACTAAAATACTCTGTTAAAAAATTTAGGTTGAGAGAAAACATCTTACTTGATTTGATTTGGTGTTTTCAGGCTATGTTATTGTGTTTTTTGGGTTGAGAGATGAGTTTTTGTTATGTGTGTGTGGGTATATATATATATATATGTTTTAAGAATTCTATTTAGGTGTTTTTTTTAGTGAGAATGAGTTAAAAATAATTTTTTATGTTAAATATTTTTATTTACTATTTTATGGCCATGATAGTTTTTTTTATTTTAAATAAGGTAAAAATGTCATAATGGGTCTCCTGTTGCATTCACATCGTTAAGGTCACAGGCACAGTGCCTAAAAGGGTAAAAATCAGTTGATAATATTTTTAAGATTGTTTGAAAAGTAATTTAGTAAAAAAAAATCACATCATGGATGATGACAATTCTATGTGGGCTAACAAAAATGCACAATCCAATCTATTATTATATTATAAAGTTATGATTTTTACAACCAAATTTCTATCCATTACCCGTCATATGCTTCTTACCTATCTTATCAAGTCAAATCATCTCTATTCTTACATTATTATTTTTTATAACACATAATAATTTTGTTAATAAATATATTAAAAAAAAAACAAAAGATAATTATTAATAGCTTCGTGTAATTTTGGAACTTGGAGACTTGAAGGGTAAAATCAGAAAATCTTAGACTCTCGAAATAGTGGAACATGTAAGAGGGGTAAAAATAAAGTTTACCCAACTCCTGTATAATGTACGTAGCTTGCAAACCAATTGGGACAAGACACGCATGCCTACAATCCTTGTTAAATCAGAGAAGCACCACCATGCACAGCTCGACACGTATCCTTCATCTTTCATTTTCCACAGTTGTCATAAAAAGACCCAACGATGAACTACCCATCTCCACGCACACAAAATAAAAATAAAAATAAAAATAATACACCCTTGAAAAACAGTTAAAAAAAGCAGAGACCGAGAAGAAGACCATTTGGGCTTTGCCATGCAGCCTCCATTAAAAAGTCACACTAGCTAGGTTTAGTCTAGCTTGCTGGTAAAAACTAGGGTTAATTATTATTATTATTATTATTCTATTTTTTCATTATTTTATTTAAATTCAATAACATAAATAGTTATAAGGTAGTGTTTAGATTTATTTATTTTTTATAGAAAGAACTAAAATTACTTCAAAGATGAATTTAATGTGTACCAGATTACAATGATCAACCTAACAAATAATCCTAGTTCAACTTTTTGTCTGCATTTATATTCTATAAGAAGGAAATGAAACTGGCAACTCAGACAAATATTATGACAAATTTAATATTTCCATATGTTAAGGTTTCCAATCACCCAGACACCATGATGTCTTCATCCTATTTTGTTACACAGAGAGGGAAAACACAACTCGGTATTTTTTCTTGTTCTTCCACTTATGGCGAAACAGCCCATTTACAGAAAGCTTTTTTCTTCTTCTTCTTTTTCTTTTTACTCCCAATATTTAATTTTTAAGCCTCCAATGTATGTGTGTGTGTGTATATATACACACACACGCTTGTGTGAGTAACATAGGTAGTAATAGTCTGCACTTGTTTAGTACTAGCTAGGCAGAGATGTATCTAGAGATATAGGAAAAGAGAAAGATCATCAAGAGAGAGTCGTCCTTTCATTCTTGACTTTGTTTCTTGTATTGTTAGGTTTTCTTCTTCAAGAGGGCAAACAAATGGGGAGAGGAAAGGTGGTCCTGGAGAGGATTGAAAACAAGATCAGTCGTCAAGTAACTTTCTCCAAAAGAAGAAATGGTTTGCTCAAAAAAGCTTATGAACTCTCTCTTCTTTGTGATGCTGAGGTTGCTCTTATCATCTTCTCTAGCCGAGGCAAACTTTTTGAGTTTTGTAGCAGCACTGAGTAAGCTAATTGCCACCCTTTTCATTCTCTCTTTCCTTTTTCTTCCTGCATTAATCTACATGTGGGCGTGTGTGTCTTCTTCTCTCGTACGTCCTAGCCATTCTTGCTTCAAATATTCAACATCTTTTCCATAAATTCGTTTACAAAATTTAAGCACCCTTATTTGGGAGAAAGGAAGTAAGAAAATGAGATGAGCATCTTCTTCTTCTTCTTCTTCTTCTTCTACACCCTTCCTTTAATTCTTCAATTGCGGTTTTTGAGGAGTGTACTTAATTCCCAATAGGATCTTGACACGACTGGTGTTTTTTTTTTTTTAATAATCCCTCAACAGATCTTTGGGTCAACTCAGACTGAACAGTTTAATTTATGGGCGGATATTTAGGGTTTTTATCTGTCTTTTTTACTCCTCTTAGACATGTCCAGGTGGATTCAAAACGTACAGTTCATTAAAGAGTCAAATCATGGTACTTTTCTTCATTTATGACGTGCCTGATCCTTGTTCAAGAATCAAGCCACTATATATTGTGCTCTCTAGCTACCGGTGCACCAAATCCTTGTCGAGGTGAACCAAAAAGGCTTTAATGTGGTCATGCCATGACCTTATCACTCTTATGGGATTGGGAGAAAGTGAGATTTTCTATATAGCCTGGCTAGGAACAGATCACCACCATCCTAGTTTTAGCCATGTATTTGCTTTGATTTTCTCCTATACTTCTGCATTTTGATGTAATATTTACTTTGTGATTTGAACAGTGCTTTGTTTCTCCTCTATTAACAAGAAGTGATCGATGCCTACAAGAGTAACATGGAAAAAGCTTTAGATGATTGTCCTTCAAATTCCCTCAAGAACATATCCAAGGACAATTCTAAATTTGGCTAAATATAAAATACAAAAAGTGGGTGCACGTGTAGTGTGTAGTGTGTAGCTGCATTCAAAAATATATGTTTATCGTGTTCGTGGAAGCATTCTAGTTTAATGTCGGTGGGAGTTTGGTTAATGCTAATGGACTTTTCTTTTCTTTTTTCTCCCTTCTCCCAGCATAAAAATTATTGCTTGATCCATTTAGTTATTAGTATTTCAAATTTATTCCTTATATTTTTAGCCAAACCTATTAATTTCACTTTGTGTTTTAATAATTTGAGAGAAAAAAAACTCTTTTATCAATTGAGCAGGTGTATTTTTAATTTGAGCCAATTAAATATAATTTTTCAAAATTAAATATTTATCTCAACTAAGTCAATATTTTTTTAACTTTTTATTCAATTTTATTAATAATTAACATAACCCATCTCACCCTCTTTATTCTATAATTATTTTTTTAATTTATATAATACGTATTTATAATTGACTGAGATGAAAAATAAAAATGTTTAATTAACCGAATTAATATTTAACAGAAGGAATTTTTTTTTATTGAAGTAAAAAAACAAAGAAAAGGAGAGTATAATATCGGGCATTACAGTTCCCTTTTTTGGTGTTTATGACCATTAATCATTATATGTACTTTCATATTAATCTTGTATATTTTTTCACCTTCATGATATGTTTTTATCTTATTCATTAAAAATAAATGATTGTCACCATAATAATACTATGTACAATCAATTTGGAATAGAGATTAAAGAATCTTATAAATACCCTGGTGCTGTTCTTGATTGTGTTGAGTCTTGTGATCATGCCTTGTGTTAATATGTTAAATAGAAGTCACTGGCATTTTAGTATCATTTTAGCATAATGATGTCGTAAAAACCCTAGAGAAGAAAAGAAATGGAAGAGGATTTGCGGGTGATGTTTGTCTTTATTTTTTTTTAGATGTCGTTTTTATTATTATAATTTAATTTAATATTTTATTATTTCTTTCTTTTAATCAGCATTAACAAGACCCTCCAGCGGTACCAGCAATGTTGCTACAGCACAGAAGGCACCAATAATCCTGAGGAAGGGTCACAGGTTTTGGTTTTAGTTATCTCAAGTTCTTAAACTAAGTCGATATTTCTAGTTTCCTGATAAATATAGTTTGATTCCCATTTGAATGAATTTCCTTGTTCATAAAATTATTAGCCCCTCCTGAATGATTTCTAATTTATTTTATTTTTACAATTTTTAAGTTCATCATGTGCTAGATAATTAGAAGGGTTCATTTCTTATTTTAAATGCATCAATTTGTTCTTTTTTTGTTGGTCAATTGCAGACCTTATACCAAGAGGTCTCAAGGTTAAGGGCAAGATGTGAGAGTCTTCAGCGCTCTCAAAGGTTATCTCAATTTTTAATTAATCTTTTTAATTATTTTTTCTTAAAAAAACCCTAATTTAAAATTAAAATGCAACTAATAATCGGCAATGGCAGAGCTAACCTTGTTTCTAGGGGGAGAGGGGAAGTAAATTTCTCTTTCCTATGACTATTGAGGGTTTTGATTGAACTTGAGGTCCTCTTCAACCTCCATTAAATGATATTTTTATTTGGTTTCGATTTAAATTTAACGTGTAAATAATACCTTAATTAAATAATATTCTGATTAATTAATAATTAAATTTTCACGGTCTACAGATATTATATCGAGATTGTAAATTATACCATTTTATTTTTTAACATGCTAGCAAATTAGAGTCTGATACATGCATGTTTCTTCTCAAGGAATTTTCTTGGAGAAGAACTTGAACCACTTACGGTGAAAGAGTTGAAGAAGATTGAGAAACAGCTGGACAAAACTCTTTCAGAAGCTAGGCAAAGGAAGGTACACACACACACACACACATATTATGGATAAATTCAAGGATTTTGTAGAATTTCTTATCAATACTGAAAGCTAATGTTTCAAGTGCAAGCTGCTAGCTTCAGGATTTGATCCATTAATTTTTGTCATTAGACAATCAGATGTCTTATAATGAACTTCCCATTTCAATTCTCTTTAATTCTACTACTAGCCACTAGCACTGATTTGGCGTCCATGACCAGCCTAAACGCTTACGGGATTTAGATTTGATTCTCATTTTATCCTTTCGCTAGAACCAAGTCTTTTAAAGACATTTCTGATAGATCCAACCTCTTGTTCAAATTCTATCAGTCTTCAGGGAGCTGGACTCAATTTCTATATACAGACCATTGTAAAATTTTGTCGTATTGCCTACTTGTTAGTATTTTGTAACAAATACTTCATGCTGGTGGTGGAGTAGCTACAGAAACATCAGAACTATTAATGTTGCGTTATCAAACGCAAACCTAGTCTTCTACCTAGCTATAGTTTACTCTCTTTATCCCCTTTCTGAGGTTTTGTCTCTTGGATCTATTCTTTATAATAATAAAGAAAGATGGTAAAATTGATACGATAATCATAACAATGTTTAATTTCTTCTCATCAATGCAGACGCAACTGATGTTTGATAGGGTGGAAGAGTTACGCAAAAGGGTAAGACTGCATTACCACCCGGCTTAATTTGCCGCCACCAATTGCTACATAAATCTATGGCAGCTTTAATAGTCTTTGCATATTTTTTACCCTCCATGACTATTTCGGAGAGTACTATCCCAATCAAACTGAAGAAAATGTTTAATGTAGTTAATACCTGACCTGGTTAGTATGAAGTTAAACTGAATCATTGTTGCAATCTAATCAATTTTGTTTTCCAAAATATCAGATTTATGGTTAATATGTGTTAGAAAAAAATTAGCAGTGAAAGGTAGAAATGCAAGCATGGTGTAACTCATATCTCATTCATATCATATATTACTCTCAAAAAAAAAAAAAAAGTCTAATGAACTTGGACTTAGATTACTCACTCTGATCAACTCATATATTTATATTAGTGTAGGGATAATTCAAGAGACTCCAAGAATATCTACATTTGAATATATGCACTCTGGAATAAGTGAAAGAGTTTCTCGGATGTAGACTTCAAAAATAATTCCATGTACTGGCATGCAGGAACAAGATCTTAAAGAGAAAAACCAACAGCTCTGGATTAAGGTATTTTTTTTCTTGAATTCACGCCATTCATAAATAATGTACTTGTGTATGATGGAAATGCATGGAAGTTGTTTGGTTTCTTCAAAAGAAGGAGAGGGATTAAGCTGCTTGAGTTGCTGATCATGGTGGAAATTTCAGCTGGAGGAAGTTCAGCGTCTTCCAGCTATTCATGGTGTAGGAGATCCTAGCAAGGGAGATGGAAATAGGCAGATTATGATGCACCCTTCCAAATTCAACCACGTTGAACCTCAACCCAGTTTGCAAATGGATCAGTATGCTTTCTTTCTCCTTCCCTTTTTACTTTAATGGAACTGAAATAACCATGCTTATACTTATATATAGATTTAGTAAGTAAATCTTGATTGTCAATGAAATTGAAGTGTACAGGAAAACTCAAGCATGATGGTGAGTACTAGAACAGACTTTTTCCTTCACTTAACCTAGGACTTTTTTTTTCATACAAAACTGTTTCTTGTCAAACAGGCACCAACAATTTGTTTCCGAGGAACAAGGCTTTGATTCCAGGATTAGTATTGGAGGCAAGAATAAGTACCCTACTCCAAAATGGTTCCCATGAAGTATAAATTCTTCAACACGTACAAGTGTGTCTGATGAAATATTGGGTTCCAAGATGTGTTCCAAAATTGTTGATGTGTGATGAACATGAATCTGTTGTGCCCAAGGAATGACATTTGAGTAAAAATTACCATCAAGACACTGCTAATATGCTTATTAATTTCTAGAGATAGTGGTTTTGAGATACTTGGTTATGACTGGCTATTTTACTGCTTGATTCCATGTTGCTTTTCAGAAATAATGATAATGAAAGGCACATATATTCCCTCTAGCAATCTATTGTGTAATAACATGTAGAAAATCTCAGATGCTAGTTTTGTGAAACCGTAGTGGAGTGATTATAAGAGGTTCCGCATGCATTATATATCTTCGATGGTAATTGATGCATGCATGTGCAAGCAAAAAAACAGTAAACAAGTATAAAACTGATAGAATTGATGAGTAAGTAAAAAGATCTTCTGAGCCTGATTGGGGAAATCATGCAGCGGATGGACCGGAAAAGTAGTCCCTCATAGAATTTAGCCTTAGAAATGATCTCCAGTACAAATTTGATTTCAATCTAACAACCAACCGGACAAATAATTATTACCTCTTATAATCATTATACTAATTTGGCATAACTAATTAATCTTTTCTTAGGCCTAATATTATATTTCACTTATCTATAAAAACATATGCTAAACCATTTACATGGTCTATTTATGGAACATCCTCATCTAATTGCTCAAATCTTTGTTTTTTACAAGCACAACTACATCAATAATGACTATTTTTATGCCTCTTAAGTTCAATGGGATCTCTCGTGGATTCTCGAAAAGAAAAGAAAAAACTTTATTATTTATTTGCAGATTTTAGGCATAAACATGGGATGTTGTTCTATAGCGAATAACGTCTTCCTCAACATGCTTTTGTAAGTTAAGAAAAATTAGCTCGAGCCATGAAAAACTACGAAGCGCCTATCTAGTATCATCATCCTAACATAACACTCAACATGTTGACATGCAATATGAAGAAGATCACATATATTTTTTGAAATTCTTTATTGGAATGAAGAACATGCAACACGTTTGTCTATATATAAAAGCCAGCTCTCATTGTTTCGTTGAGTCTTGCTGAAGACATGAGAACAACTGCAAGAATCTTGCTTCGTGTTTTAAGTCAAAACATCTTTAAAATGACTTGTAAAACAACCATATTCAAGTTGGACTCCTCTTACTCTATTATTGGTTGCGGGATGGTGTCTTGAGCATCATTTTATTGCTAGCAGAATGGATTAGTGACTCCAAGTTAGACAAGATTGCTTTCTCTTTGTTCGCTTTATCTTTTTTCTAACTTGCAACCCTCAATATTTATTTGATCCTTCAATACTTTTCAACGAGTCTCACAAAAATAAGAGAGTAAAATCAAGTTATTTCCATAATTATTAAACATAATTTGATGTTTGATTTAATATAAAACTTGATTATGGATTGAAAAAAAATATATTATTATTTAAAAAAAAAATCATTGAGTTTTTTCCTGACTTAAATAATATCAGCTCTAAAATTGTTTTTTTTTAAAAAAAAAAAACCTAATATGAGTGTAGACAAAGTTTAATAACAATGGTTGATTCTCAACAAGAATCCTATGTGTTGCTACCTAAATTTTGACCCATGTTTTTGATAAATTTGAAGGTCGGACCATCAGTGCATATGCTAATTTCAATTGCAACTATTAAAAACCCTAAAAAAATGCACTTTGATATATTTGCATTGTTTTTAGCATTTTCAACGTCATTTCAGAAAAATTAAATTTTCAAAGGTATTTCAAACGCGTTCAACTTTTAACGCGTACATTTTACAATCACTGATTTTTCTTATTGAGTCGACGTTGATATTGCTCACTTTAAAAATACAAAAAAAAAAGAGAAAATCAAAATTAACAAAAAAAGAGAGAAAAGAAAAAGAAAAGTTGAGGGACTAGTTTGAAAACCTAGCAAAGCTTTTCCTATAAATACCATGCTACAGTAGAAGCAAGGAGGAGGGGAGGAATTGGAAACAAAAAAAAAATTGATTCGGCGGAGAAATTTTAGGGAGGGGAAAACAGAAGAAAAAACCTAAAATTATTCTATCTTTCAGCCGCCTCTCCCTAGAAAAAAAAACTCCCTTTCTCTGCCATTGGAGTCTGCTTGCCCCCCACCTTCCTTGGAGAACAGAGACTACCCCTGCCTCCCAAAACCAAAAAAAAAGTCGTCGCTCATCATCTTCCCTACAGCCGCCCAAGAGAAAAAAATTAAAGCTTTCATCTTTTATCAAAGAAGCCGCCACCACAAACCCTCCCTTTTAGCTTGCGATTTTTGCTCCTGAGCAGCTCCCATTTGCCTTGACAAAGCAGGTCGTCGTTCCCTGTTTCTCTTCGAAACCAAGGGAGCCTTCTCCTTTTTTTTTTTTCTCCACACTGCTGGAACCTTCCTCTCTCTCAGCCGCTCACTTCCCCTCCTTAAAAAAAAAAAAAAACAAGAGGCCACCTGC